TTTGACTTCACTCTCCAGGATGTCTGGCTCAAGGTCAGCAACCACACTACCTGGGGTGTACGAGACATCCATATCTTTCTGGTATAATTCCTCTGTGCATTCTTGCCACCTCTTCTTGATGTCTTCTGCTTCTGTTAGGTCCTTACCACTTTTGTCCTTCATTATGGTAGTCTTTGTACGAAATGTTCCTTTCATATCTCCAATTTTCTTGAACAGATCTCCAGTTCTTCCCATTCTGTTGTTTTCCTCTATTTCTTTGCATTGCTCGTTTAAGAAGGCCTTCTTGTCTCTCCTTGCTATTTTTGGAAATCTGCATTCAATTTCCTGTATCTTTCACTATCTCCCTCGCATTTTGCTTGCCTTCTCTCCCCCGCTATTTGTAAGGCCTCGTTGGACAGCCACTTTGCTTTCTTGCATTTCCTTTTCATTGGGATGGTTTTTGTTGCTGCCTCCTGTATAATGTTACGAGCCTCCATCCATAGTTCTTCAGGCACTCTGTCCACCAAATCTAAATCCTTAAACCTGTTCCTCACTTCCACTGTGTATTCATAAGGGATTTGGTTTAGATTGTATCTTACCGGCCCAGTGGTTTTTCCTACTTTCTTCAGTTTAAGCTTGAATTTTGCTATAAGAAGTTGATGATCTGAGCCACAGTCAGCTCCGGGTCTTGTTTTTGCTGACTGTATAGAGCTTCTCCATCTTTGGCTGCAGAGAATATAATCAATCTGATTTCGATGCTACCCATCTGGGGATGTCCATGTGTAGAGTCGTCTCTTGTGTTGTTGGAAAAGAATGTTTGTGATGACGAGCTTGTTCTCTTGGCAGAACTCTATTAACCTTTGCCCTGCTTCGTTTTGAACTCCAAGGCCAAACTTGCCAGTTGTTCCTTTTATCTCTTGATTCCCTACTTTAGCATTCCAATCCCCTATAATGAGAAGAAAATCCTTCTTTGGTGTCATTTCTATAACGTGTTGTAAGTCTTCATAGAATTGGTCAATTTCAGTTTCTTCAGCACCAGTAGTTGGTGCATAAACTTGAATTACTGTGATGTTAAAAGGTCTGCCTTGGATTCGTATCAAGATCATTCTATTTTTGAGATTGCATTCCAGTACAGCTTTCACCACTCTTTTGTTGACTATGAAGGCCACTCCATTTCTTTTATGGGATTCTTGCCCACAGTTGTAGATATGATGGTCATCCGAGCTGAATTCGCCCATTCCCATCCATTTTAGTTCACTAATGCCCAGGATGTCAATATTTATTCTTGCCATCTCATTTTTGACCACATCCAACTTACCAAGGTTCATGGTTCTTACATTCCAGGTTCCTATGCAATATTTTTCTTTACAGCATTGGACTTTTCTTTCGCTTCCAGGCATATCCACAACAGAGCGATCTTTCGGCTTTGGCCCAGCCGCTTCATCAGCTCTGAATCTACTTGTACTTGTCCTCTGCTCTTCCTCAGTAGCATGTTGGACGCCTTCCGACCTGAGGGTCTCATCTTCCAGCGTCATAACTTTTATATGCCTGTTGTCTTTGCCCATGGAGTTTTCTTGGCAGGGATACTGGAGTGGCTTGCCGGTTCCTCCTCCAGGTGGATCACGTTTTGTCAAAACTCTCTACTATGACCTGTCCATCTTGGGTGGCCCTGCACGGCATAGCTCTTAGCTTCTCTGAGTTATTCAAGCCCCTTCACCACGGCAAGGCAGTGATCCATGAAGGGGCTGATTAACCTTAGGAAACAAATTTTCCTTTGTGCCTCAGACAAAGCTAACTTACAGAGTTGGGGCTCTTCTGGGACAATTAAAGCTTAGATCAAAACTATCAAAATGGCCTGAATATAAGCCATTCTTTTTTTTCCAAATTCAGACTGTGAAAAGTGCGGCATATATTTGGAACTGAGCCCTGTATGCCTGCCTCCCGGCACTCCCGGCACTCCCGGCACTCCCGGCACTCCCGGCACTCCCGGCACTACCGCCCCATGCCGGAGCCAGCCACCCACTCCCCCATTTAGGGTGGTAGTGCAAAAACCACTCACAGCTTCAGAACTGAATTTATTGTTGGGCAACCTTCAATGCAATTGTTTGGAATTACACAAAATCATCCATTTTATTTATCAACCAAACATTCAAGCACAAGACACATGGCAGGTGAGAAGGGAAGTGGGAGGGTTGTCTTGTGGTTGTTGTCGCTTTTCATTATCTGAAAAAAATCAATAAAGCATGTACTTTGGTTCCAATGTAAGTGGAGCAGTGTGTAGTTTCTCATTAACCCTTGGGCCTCTTCTATCCTATATAAACACATTGTTTACACATTTCCCACATTCTCCAAAAAGAGAAGCAGCTGCCACCTATTACAAACTTTCTGTGTGAATACCATGGAAACCGGTAAGTCTTGGAGGGTTACTGGGCAGGAGCAGAGAGAGACTACTTTAGAATTTGGGGCACAAGGGAAGGGTTGCTTCTTTGTTGACATGTAGTCTAACTTTATAATTATTGAGTGCCAATGATACTCTCTGTGTGATATAGAAGTTATGTGGGGCTTTCCAAAGGCTTTAGGGATTGGTATCTCTGGTCCCTCCAGCAATCAGAATTCCTTTCTTTACTCACTCTCCACTAAATGTATTGAAACACCTTGCAGGGAGAGATCATGATGTGATCCAGAGGCAGAATTCTCATTTCTACCATTCTGAACTCATTTGCAACATCTTGGGTTTGGAAGTGGGGCGTGGGTATCTGGGAGAATGCTCTCCGTTTCAGTGGGTTGGCTCAAAGGAACCAGATGTGACTGGAAGGGGCTTCTGGGTAGAGCAACAGAGAAGCTTGAGCTTCCTTAAACATTCATTCTGTAAATAGTCTATAAAGTTTATCTTATATTACGAACATCCATCCTGACCTCCAGATCACTTTCAGAATGCAATCCTATACAAACTGAGCGTTGCTAGGTTCTCGAATAGAAATGAGTAGGGCTGCATAAAGTCACCAGCAGACACTGGCTAGCTCAATGCTTTGTGATCATGACTTTCATAAAGGAGTTTTTCACACTGTCTGACAGCTGAGTTAATTCCCCCCTCCCCTCACTCCCTACTCCAAGTGCAAATGTTAGTTTATAAATGTGGTAACTCCTGAGGATCTGAATGTACAATATTCAGTGTTTGAATTAAAAGTTGTCAATCAGCTAGTGGGATCATATGATCTAATTACTGTACCCCATGCTTATATATATCTGAACAGTGAGGCTTTTGCTGCGTGTGTGGAGGGTACATTTTATGGTTCAAAAAGATTTTTGATTATGCTTCCTTTTACGGCTTTGGTTTCTTGGGTAAGGGGGTTTAAGAATGTGCTGAGCATTTTGACGGTGCTTTTTTTTTAAAGAAACTATTTTCACCATTGGGAGATGAAATAAAGGACACTTAAAATAAAATAAATTAGGAGTTTTGCATTGTATGAAAAGTATGTTCTTTTGCCTATCACTGACTCTGCTGTCAGGCTATTTTAATAGGACCTCTTGAGCTCAACAGTTATGGCAGAAGAAGTGGGAGAGAGAAATAGCCACTTCTTTAATGCCATGCACAATCTTCTATTATGCCCCTCTTTTTATATTCCTGAATCAAAAACACCCAAAAGGTGGAGTTGAGTAGCTGATCAGACCACCAGCCCTAGTTTGGGGGAGGGGATTGTGCAGAGTGAGAAAGAGACCCAAGAAAAGGACATTCATGCACACACTCTCTCTGCTGAGCTGGAACAAGATCCCAGGGGGTTCCAGATATTCACCCAGGGGCTGTGTTCCCTTGGAGAATTGAAGACATGGTAGGGACTGTTTTAGCTTTAAGAAATATGGTTTATACACATATTTAAACCTTCAGTCCACATGGAGGGAGTACAGATCTTGCAGCATGGCAATCCCAAGCAGGGATGATCATCTGGTCTAAACCTCCTGAAGAACCATGAACAATGTTGGTGTTGGAGGGAACAAATCAGATGCCACAAGAAAATCCGTGGGGGAATAAAGAACTGGGAAATCTCTTCTCTCCCCTCCCCCACCAACCACAATAGATGTGTACTGTTCTCTTCTCCTAGCTCTGAACCTCAACAGTCTGGCACTACAGTACGATTGCATTAACTACCGAGGTTGAGAGTAGGCAAGTAAGTTTATCTGCCCCTTCCAGGCTGAATGGGAGAAAGGATGGTGTTGGTTTATGCACACTATGAGAAAAAAACAGGTCCAGATCTGAATTTTGTTCCTCTTTCCAAGATATTCTGAGGTATTAGGCAGTTTCTTCCCATCACAGCTGAGACAGGAAATCAATTAGAACAGCAGTCACCAACATAGCACTTATGGGTGCCTGAGTGACCTTGTTTGGTGCCCAGAAAAGATCTCAGTAAATATCCCCTCAAAATCCACTGTCTCAGCCTCTCCTTAAGCTTGACCACATTTAATGGGGCTTGAGTACTGAAGGCCCACTCTCTCAGATGTTCTGAACAAGGGAGAGGTGCAAAGAGCTTTTCTTTGTGAGCAAACACAGCAGTGATGGATACAGGTGTTTAAGCCACACTGAGCCTTCAAATGAGCATTGAGTTTTAGCAAAATCTTGGTCTTTTGTTTCTCTAACAGCCATAACCTAAAGTCACTGGGCAAACTGCTTTTAAAACTGATCAGCCTGTCAAACGCAATATTATATTCCTTGGAAGGGGTGGGTGGGTCTCCTATCAAATGAAGAGAGAAATAGATAGGAAATATGTCTTGACAAGCAGAAGATTTTTGGTTCGTCTTTCAAAGCATCTCACAATTAATTAGTAATCATTTACCTTTGGAATTATATTTGGCTCTGGCAGGTATATTGTGTTAAAGCATTGAGACTGTTTTCCAAGACGTCAGCAAATTCTGTTAATTATTTCATTGTCATAAATAATGAAATAAGTAAAAAGAGTAAATAATCATTTTGTGAAATCTTCTGATCTAACTGAATACACTGCTTTCTTTTCCTAGAATCAAGCACCATGCCAGAGATAGTCCCTAAGAACAAAGCCCCAGGGGTTGATTTCTGTGGGGTAGATGAATATTACTACATTGTCCGCTCAGACCTGGGCTGCTACATGAGGTCCACCAATTTCCACAGGGGCAAAGACCTTGAAGTGTTTAGCCTGCACAGTTCCTGCCAGGGAGGAGATCACTATTTAGCCCATCAGGACGGCCTATTCTACATCATCAAAGGAGACAACTATCGCCGTGTCAGCAACATGAATCAAGACCTAGATGCTGTAGTATACAGCCTCCATCCCAACTGCCGCGGAGGGGACCATTACCTCTCAGCCTCTAGATACTTCTATATCATTTTCCAGAAAAGAGGTGTTTACCGTATGGTCACTAATATGAATGAAGATAAAGATGCAGTTGAATACACACTTCACCCTGCTTGCAAGGATGGTCTCTATTACTGGGGCGTCAAAAAATACTATTACTTTGTAAAACCTGTTGATGAATGGGGCATCCAGTACTATAAAAGCACCAACTTCCACGAAAATCTGAATGCTGAAACATTTTCCTTCCATAGTGATGTAGTGAATATGCTCCCTGGAGGAATGGCTATTACCTATGGTCCAGCTTATGGTAGATGGGAACCTATCAAGACCATTTCCAACGACTCTAGCACTCCCATTGTATGGAATAAGAAGATCACCAAGAAAGTGGGATACAACAAGCAGAAGATGACCAGTGTGGAGCACAACTGGAAGATTTCCATGACTGCCACATATCAGTCGGGTGCGCTCACTGAAGCCATTGCCAAGTATCAGTTCTCTCTCACTGCTGAGTATGGTGGGAAGAGGGTCGACACAGAGCAGGAAAACTGGAATGAAGCCACTGAGATCGAAGAAGCTATTAGTGTAACCGTGCAGCCCAATGAGAAGATGTACATATGGCAGTTTGAGATGGGCTTGGGCAAGGAAGAGGTCTTGTTCTGCCGTGATATAAAATTTACGAGTGATTCTACTCCACCTACAGATATTCCTTTGCCACCTTCCAATAAGTGAAAAAAAAAGTATTAGGCCAAAAGGCACCCTCTCTGTTATAAAATTTGATTGATTACTATGGGCTAATATTTAGACAATACAATGCTTTCATGAGTTAAGAGGGAGTTAGATGAGTAGTATATAGAGATGCATAAACTAAACACGAAGTGAGATTAATGATTTCTAGACATATTATATACTCTCATATAGACATACTAATCTCAGTAGGCTACAGCTAGAAATGCATGTCCTAGTTTGTGCACGATGCAGGTGACCCAAGCTGAATGCCTTCTAGATACTATTTCCTGGTGCCTATGAATCCCTTTGCCAAATTTGTGCCTTCATTTTGCTTTGTACCTGCTGAACTTCTAATCTTGTCCCACTGTTGTTATACAAATCAAATAAAATGAAGAATCAATGGTTTAAAAATATGTGCAATGCGTGTTTCACACTTGCGACAAAATGATTTGCAACATATATAGTTTATAGTTTAGTTTATTATTTCTACCCTGCCCATCTGGCTGGGTTTCCCCAGCCACTCTGGGTGGCTCTCAACAGCACATTAAAAATAGAATAAAACTTCAAAAATTAAAAACTTCCCTAAGCAGGGCTGCCTTCAGATGTCTTCTAAAGGATGGATAGTTGTTTATTTCCTTGACATCTGATGGAAGGGCATTCCACAGGGCGGGTGCCACTACCGAGAAGGCCCTCTGCCTGGTTCCCTGGAACTTCGCTTCTCACAGTGAGGGAACTGCCAGAAGGCTTTGGTGCTGTACCTCAGTGTCTGGGCTGAACAATGAGGGTGGAGACACTCCTTCAGGTACACTGGGCTGAGACTGTTTAGGGCATTAAAGGTCAGCACCAACACTTTGAATTGTGCTTGGAAACATCCTGGGAGCCAATGTAGGTCTTTCAAGACCGTTGTTATATAGTCTCGGCAGCCGCTCCCAGACACCAGTTTGGCTGCCACGTTCTGGATTAGTTGCAGTTTCCGGGTCACCTTCAAGGAAATAAACAACTATCTGACTTTTCAAAGACATCTGAAGGTAGTCCTGTTTAGGGAAATTTTTAACGTTTGATGTTTTTTGTCCTTTTAATATTCTGTTGGGGGGCACCCAGAGTGGCTGGGGAAACCCAGTCAGATAGGTGGGGTATAAATAAATAATAACTCTAACCATTGGCCGTGTTGGCTGAGGGAGTTAGTATACAGCTAAATCTGGAGGGCCACGTGTTTTAAGCATGCTGCTGGCCTGGCTAAGAAATGTGAGAGTAAGGCTCCTTCAGGAAGTTGGCTTGGGGGAGCAAGGAGTCAAGTGCTGTGGCCAGAGCAGAGAGAAGGAAACAGCAGAAGCCCAAAGGTTGATCGTGATAAAGGCCTTTTGTCAAAAACCACATCAAACATTTATGCAAATACAAGGAAGAACATAGAAGTGTTTGTACTGTGTTTGAGTTGAAGGCTGGGTTTCTTTGGAAACGGAGCAGAGATTTCTGTAGAAGAAGACGTTTCAATAAAGCCAGCCAATCATAGGTAATAAAACAGGAAAGTACTTTTGTGCATGTTTTTAAAAGCCCGGAACCATTGGCTCAGAAAGTACAATCCAATGGCCCTTACATTTGTTGTTGCTGCCCCTATTTTCAGACGTATCTCCCTAGTAAAACGCTGTTCCCATTGTTACTGTTTGTCATTGGGGGCACTTTCCTGATAGCTGGAGGTGCCAACATTTAACTCCTTCTTTAGCCTCTTTGGAAAATTCACCTCCTGTACATCCACTCAGAAGAAAGATCCATGAAGTTCAATGGTACATACTCCTTGTCTACGATAGCAGGCTAATTTTTCCAGTGGCTAATGGATGCTTCTTGACTACGCCTTTTTTCCTAGGGAAGGTTGGGCAGTCTGTGGCCCTCCAGGTTTTGTTTTTGGACTCCAGTTCCCATCAGCCCCAGCCAGCATAGCCAAGGATGATGGGATTTCTAGTCCAGCAACATTGAACATCACTGTTCAAATGCACATGCATGTGAAGTATTCTTCATGCACACAAAGGCGCAGCTTCCAGGATACATTTTAAGCCACCTAGAACATAGTACAATTTCAATTTTTCTACTATATCTTTGGCCAAAAATTTTGTAGCATAAAAAGTAGAAGGCAGCTTTCAGCAAGGCATAACCCCATTTTCACCTGAGAAAGTCGATCTCCTGGCTATTTGCTCACCTCTTGCCATTAAGGCTCTTAACTTGGAGGCATTAGAGTTTCAGTGTGATGTGTTGGATACAGGATCAGACTTAGATGGGGAAATGCCAACTCAAATATTCTATGCCCTAAAATACAAATAAACAAGCCTCACCACCACCACCACTGCTTCCATAATACTGGAAGCCCAGATCACCCAATGAAGCTAGATGGTAGGAAATTCAGGGCAGGCAAAAGCAAGCACTCCCTCACAGAGCACACACTGAAACTCTGGAATTTGCAGCCACTAACTTGGACACCTTTAAAAGGAGATGGGGCAAATTCAGGGAGAATAAGGCTGGTTGATTGCTATGGTTAGCAGGATGCATGACTACACTGGCCTTTCAACCAACCCAGCATGGGTCTTTTGTGCTTCTTAGGATACTAACAATGGTTGATTCCAGTTCCACATTTCAGAGGTAAAGTTAATTGTGGCAAGTCAGCTGTTATCTATCTCACAAGCTTCTGGTATCTGTAGTGGGTGGTTGGGGAATGTTTGAGATGAAGTGGCTACTCAAAGAGTCTCTTGACCTAGGAATGAAGGTTCAAAAGTAAGGATTTCCTCATTCCAAACTGAGCTAGGGCACAGCTGTGTTGGAAGAGATCCATTTTTGTAGGAAGAAAGGAGTCACGGGGCCACTCAGAGGGAGATTGGGCAAGCCCTAGAATATAAAAATGACCTATCTAAGCCAAAGTGACCAGAGGAGAAAGGCAATTCCCGTCCAGCAGACTGGTCTTCTTATCGTCACACCTGCATTATTATATTTTATTCTGAGGGTAAGTAGGAAATCATTATATTCTATCTTGTGCTGTGATATTTGCTTCCATGTATTCATCTTTAATGGAGAGAACCCGGCGGAGGATGGAAACCTTGTCTCCTCTTGTGCCCTTTTATAGCAACATAATTTTCAGAAATCAGCAATACCCCCATTCGTTCTACCTGCACCTCTCTTGGCAGCACAGCTTTCCCTGCTTGTGGATGTATGTGCAATGGGGGATTTGAGACCATACAGTCAGGTGTGCCATTTTTAGTTGAAACTTGTTGTGGAGATAAGGTAATGGAGATACAGTAGTACCTCGGGTAACATACGCTTCAGGTTACACATGCTTCAGGTTACAGACTCTGCTAACCCAGAAATAGTACCTCGGGTTAAGAACTTTGCTTCAGGATGAGAACAGAAATCGTGCTCCGACGGTGCAGCAGGAGGCCCCATTAGCTAAAGTGGTAGCTCAGTTAAGAACAGTTTCAGGTTAAGAACGGACCTCCAGAACGAATTAAGTACTTAACCCAAGGTACCACTGTATATACCACATGTGGTGGACATGCAGGAAAATCAGAGAGTTTTGGAATCTTATTTATGATGAGCTGGAAAAGATCTTTAAGTTAACATTCTTAAAAAAGCCAGAGGCCTTCCTACCGGGTATTTTAGGTAAAGCCATTCCAAAAAATTTAAGAGAAATCTTCCTATATGCCACAGCTGCAGCCCGAACACTGGTTGCAATGAACTGGAAGGGGCAGGGGGAGTTCCAACTTTATCAGATTGGCAAGGCAAATTACAGGAATATGCAAAAATGGCGCAATTGACCAACAGACTGAGAGGCAATACAAGACAATCATTTATTAAAAAATGGGATATGTATCAGAGTTATTTACAGAAATAAAATAGTGGTATAATATCTTTGGCAGCATTTGAACGACCCTTGTTTAAAGTAATTATTAAGAAATAAGTTAATGAGTACAAACTGTTGTAAGAAGGTATTAAAAAATACAGAAAGAGTAAGGTAATAACGTTAAGTACATTCAATACTAAAAAGAAAGTTTACATTGGGAAATGATAGGAAGTCTATTTTATGTTAGTAAAAAGATAGGGAAAAAGTGATTGCATAAATTTAAACTAAGTTTAATTTTTGTGAATCCAAAGAAGAGTATTAGTATATGGTTGTTTTCATTTTTGCTGAATTAGGAGTGTGTATAGTATGTATATTATGTACATTACTTATGAATTTCAATAAAGTTATGTTAAAAGAAAAGATAAAAGAAAAAAGAGAGAAACTTGTTGCGACAGATTTGGGGGTCTTTTCCTCATTGGAAGGTCATGTTTTTAAAACACCCCAAAAAAGAACCAGGATAGACAGTCAGCAAATAGGATGAACCTCCTCCTGTGCCTTAGTCTCTCCAGGTGCCTGGAGGTGTCAAACCCAAATTTAGACTGGACCTCTCCTTTCAGGCCACATATAGGAAACACGTGAAGACAGGAGATTTAGAAGTGAAACAAGCAAGCTATTGTTAAGTTGGCTGAAAAACCTTCCTTTTCTCCAAAGTATTCCCACATTAATCTGTTTTATATTTGTAGCTTTAAAAAAAAAATGCTGGTGGTAGAGCAGTTTAGTTTTAATAGTATATTATGACCACTTTTATGTTTTATATTTCATTTCTGTACAGTGGTACCTTAGTTCCCAAACTTAATCCATTCTGGGAAGTCTGTTCCAAAACCAAAGCGTTCTAAAATCAAGTCGTGCTTTCCCACAGAAAGTAATGCAAAATGGATTAATCCGTTCCAGACTTTTAAAAACAACCCCTAAAACAGCAATTTAACATGAATTTTACTATCTAACGAGACCATTGATCCATAAAGTGAAAGCAATAATCAATGTCCTGAACTATAAAATAAACAAGACAGTATTGTAGATGATAAAAATAAAAATTAATTTTTTTTCTTATGTGCACTGATGATAGTATTGTTTGGATGGGGGGCTTTTATCCATTTCTGCAGTCACACAATCAATCAGTAGCTGAACTGGGTTCCACGCAGTCGCAAAAACAAGTAGCAAAAACGAAGTCACAAGCCGCAGTCACAAATCAGTCCCATAAAATGAAGAACAAGTCACAGTCAAAAAAATGAAAAAGCCACACAAACAAAAATGCAAAAAAATAGCAAAAACAAAAGCTCCAAATATCACTTCTGTGTTGCGTGGGTGCTTGGGACTCAACAGGAAGCCTCAACAGGAAGCCTCTGATTAGCAGCAGGGGACTCAATTTACAAACGGAACACACGAAACAGGAATCGGAACATGTTCTGTTTCCAAGGCAAAGTTCACATACCGGGACATCTACTGTCAGAGGCTTAATGCTGTACAGCTGGCATAGATAAGACTCTGGGCTCCCAGCCAGTTCCAAACTATTTGATTTATTTGACAAAGTTCAAACGTACATCTCCAGCGTTTCAATTAGCGTCCGTCCCGTTGTTGCGCAGTTGCCGCCTCTAATCTTTCTTCTTCCTTTTCCGTACCCAGCATGCAAGTCTGCGGAAACTCCTCCCCTGACTTCCTCTGTGTACAGAATGACTTGTTCCAGGCTCATCTTCCTCCCCCTCTACGTCAGACCCACTGTCAGATGACAAGCTGCTGATAATCTCTTTAGGCTCTCTATAACTGCTGGTTTCTGTCCTTTCATCTTTTCCCGTTTGCCTCTCCCTGACACCTACTTCCAGGTTTGCAGCATTCTATTTCCAAGTTGTTCATAAACTATGCTGTTCTAAAACCATGGTACCACTGTACACCACTTAAAGTTAAAAAGTAAAGGGACTGCTGACCATTAGGTCCAGTCACAGACTGGTTGTGGCACTCATCTCGCTTTATTGGCTGAGGGAGGCGGTGTACAGCTTCTGGGTCATGTGGCCAGCATGACTAAGCCGCTTCAGGCGAACCAGAGCAGCGCACAGAAACGCCATTTATCTTCCCACCGGAGAGGTACCTATTTATCTACTTGCACTTTGTGCTTTCAAACTGCTAGGTTGGCAGGAGCAGGGCCCAAGCAACTGGAGCTCACCCTGTCGTGGGGATTTGAACCGCTGACCTTCTGATCAGCAAGCCCTAGGCTCTGTGGTTTAACCCACAGCGCCACCCGCATCCCTGTACACCACTTAGGTACTCCTTAAATGTAGAGCAGTTCATACATTATTAAATAAGGAAATAAACCCTACTAAATGAGCTATTTCAGTGTTGGGAACATTCAACATACTGAACCACCAGCACCCAACCTACAGCCTGTCTTGACACACATCATCACCATTTATTATTTATACCTCACCTGGCTGGGTTTCTCCAGCCACTCTGGGTGACTCCCAACAGAATTAAAAGCACAATAAAACATCAAACATTAAAAACTTCCCTAAACAGGGCTGCCTTCAGATGTCTTCTAAAAGTCAGATAGTTCTTTAGCTCCTTGACATCTGATGGGAGGTAGTTCCACAGGGCGGGTGCCACTACCAAGAAGGCCCTCTGCCTGGTTCCCTGTAACCTCACTTCTCACAGTGAGGGAACTGCCAAAAGGCCCTCGGAGCTGGACCTCAGTGTCCGGGCTGAATGATGGGGGGAGATGCTCCTTCAGGTATACTGGGCCAAGGCTGTTTAGGGCTTTAAAGGTCCCTAAGAACTAGTTGCCACTTTAACATTTCCCTTTTTATGCCTCCTCTCTGTAGTTCGCAAGACCCCAACATGCTGGTCTCCAAGGTCTCCTGCTCATTACTGGCTATCCTTCTTGGGTTTCTGATGGTGCAGTCATGTGAAGGACAGTCCCGAGAAGATTTTGAGTGGAAGCACACTGATTATCCAAAAAGCTACTCAACTTCCCACCCTGACACCTACTGCAAGCGGATGATGCTTCAGAAAAGGTTGACTCGATATGTTTGCAAGGACATAAATACCTTCATCAACAACCGCCCTGTAAATGTGGTACAAGTGTGCAGAGGCAGAGGGATTCCCCATGGTAGTGACACCGATAGCATAGACTCCTTTGATATGGTCATCTGCAGATACACAGGTGGTCCGGCTCCTTATGACTGCAGGTACAGCGGCACACCCACACACTTGCGCATTCGTGTGACCTGCACCGGCATTTACCCAACACACTATGTGACTCAAATGCGCTAGGCAATGTGTGGTACAACTCGCTCTCCATTTACAGAAGCCAGAAGTCTGAGGATGCATTGGCTACAATTTTATTTTCTGTCATGCTTTCTCCTCAATATATCTCTGCAACATGCCCACAATATAAGCTTTTACTGCTTTAATAGTTACTCACTTACCCAGGGAATCCTGGCAACGTAGATCTTCAAGGAGCAGCTGTGGGAAATACCTTTGCATGACGTTTCTTTACCCCTGTTCCATTATACCATGGGTAGGCAAACTAAGGCCCAGGGGCTGGATCCGGCCCAATCGCCTTCTAAATCCAGCCCGCAGACGGTCTGGGAATCAGCATGTTTTTACATGAGTAGAATGTGTCCTCTTATTTAAAATGCATCTCTGGGTTATTTGTGGGGCATAGGAATTTGTTCATTTTCCCCCTTCAAAATATAGTCCAGCCCCCCACAAGGTCTGAGGGACAGTGAACCGGCCCCCTGCTGAAAAAGTTTGCTGATCCCTGTATTATACCTTCCCAGTTTCTCACCTTCTCAGTTCTCCCTTTCCCAACCAGAAATAGTGAACACACACACACACACACACACACACACACACAATCTGAACCTCTTTTAACTTGGAGAGGCATTGCCCATGACCCCAGCCTCAACTCCAAACCCTGAAAGTGACACAACAATTCAAGAGACTTTGAAAAATGCCGAGCTGTTGCTGAACTAATTAAAGCAGCATAAAGATATTCATGGTTGGGTTTATGGTCTACACATTGCGCAAATCTGGTGCTGCCTGGTTGGGCCCTGGGACACCAAATCCCCATTCAGCCATGAAGCTCACCTTGAGGCAGTCACTATCTCTCAGTCTAACCCACAGAAACCCACATGTGAAATTACAGGCTTGCGTCGTGCCTTCAAGTTATGTAGCAGAGCATAGAATTATATGTGCTACATTGATATCTGGGGTGGGGGACACACAATATATTGTAGATGGGGTGGGGAGATTGATCGACTAAGATGAGATTCATACCAGATACTGGTTTATACATCAGTTTCTAGAGAAGGGAGAGGGGGTGTTGTGTGGTGGTTAGTTTAGAGGGTCAGATAAGGATTGTGAAGACTTCGAATAATCACAGACATCCCCAGATGAGCTTTACACAGAATTGTTCTGAAAATATAAAGGAGGATGGGGGAACAACCAATGTCACCTTGGGCTCCCTGGAGGAAAACAGGCGATATAAATGCAATAAATAAATTAAATAAATGTGGGGTGGATATGGATGAAGCCAGCCTCCCATTCCATCTAACTTGATGGTGCAATTTTACTTCCCCTCTCTCTTGTTTTTATCTGAGGACACTGCAGAAACCCACCTGTGAAATTACAGGCTTGCGCCATGCCTTCAGTTTCCTCACCTCAATAGAACTTACCTTGCCAAACTGGAGTCCAACATTATTACTCAACCCTCAGCCAGAATTATAGGGGGCAGTTGTGGGGAAAGCAGTTGGCAGTTAAAGGGATTGAGACATCATTTCTAAGGGGGCCATTGAAGGGAGCCAGGAGAAGGCTGGGGAAGTATCTCAAAAGTCTTGATTAGAAAGCTGAGCCTTTCCATTATTTCACATTTGGCATATAGCACACTTACCCTTGTACCAGTGTGTGTGTGGGGGGGACAGCAACACAGACACTCTGGTTCTATGCAGCAAAAGCCACTTTTCCTGAAGAAAGTCAGCATGATATAGTGTGTGGATATGACTTCATATCCCTGCACAGTTGTGAAGCAGACTATGATAGGGGGAGGCATCTAGATCTGGCATCTACAGGCAATCCAAAACTTCAGCCTGAATTTTGGCAGGGCTTTAGTGGAACTTCTTCCTCCTGTGGGAAGCGGAGGGCTCCCATGCACACCAGCAGCCTCTTTGATGCTGCCAAAGAGCTGTGTGGTGCTCAGGTCAAGGTGATCAGCAGAGTGCCCACCAGAGTGCTGGTAAGTTTGGCCATCTTACCAAAATGCACCCTCCACACCAAAAATATCCCAAATGTTCCCATGAAACATGTGGCCATGAAAGTGTGATGACCACGACCCAGCCTTATATTAACCCTAGATCATCCTGAGACCTCATACTACCTGTCAGTTGAAGGGGCTTATGTTATGCATCATTATGTTATGCACCTCAGGCCCAGGGCCAAATGTGGCCATCCACACCTCTGTATTTGGCCCTTGGGGGTATTTTCACACCATCCTCTCCCCAGCAACATGCACTCTGTCATGGTCCGGTTCACAGGCGATCAAAGTCCTGACAGGGGAGGTCAGGACCAGGGGCAAGATAGCAGGGTAGGAGCAGGAACGGGGGTCCAGAAGCCAGGATTCAGGAAGCCAAGGGTCCGAGGGTCAGGAAGCAGGGAGTCAAGAAGCCGAGGTTCAAGAATCAGAAAGCAAGAAGCCCAAGGCAGGAAGGGTGTTGCTGTGTCAAAGAGCTAAAGGGAAATGCTGACCTTATATCCCTTCCCAGCTCTTGCCACCAGGTGCAGTGAGTTACCAAGCGGCCTCACCTGTGAGGCCACACCTTGCCTCTTCAGAACAAATTTAGGAAGGCCCCAGTCCTGCAAAGTCCTGTTGGTCACAGGGCCTGGCTCCTGCGCACACACACCTGACACACTCTCTCCATATGCTTACCCCCTCCCCAGGTTTACTTCACACCCAACTGGCTGCAGTGGTGGATTAGGGGCTCTCAAATTTCAGCAGTGCCCCGTGTGATGCTAAAATTGAGGGGACTCTTTGTGGGGGCACCACATTGTTTTGGTGCCCCCCTGCAGCTCAGTGCCCAGTGTGACCCTAAAACCACCTCTACTGGGTGGAATGTGCCCTCAAACTCTGACAATGCTGTTTGCTCACCTGAATAGAGGCAGGAAGGAAGGATCGGTGTATGTGTGCAGAACCTAGGCTAATGTACAAATATAAAATCCACATCTGTTGCTTTTCTGACATTGGCCTCTGGCCTCGCCCACCACTCAGGGCCGGATTTAGGTTCGATGAGGCCCTAAGCTACTGAAGGTAATGGGGCCCTTTATATGTTCAGCTGTCCTTTGTCAACAACAAATTGTCGCTGTTTTTTTGTGTTGAATATATGCTATATGGTAATTTATGGACCTATATAAAGCCATTTGCACTTAACAAACTATGTATTTTATTTATTTCTTTATTTTTTAAAAAGCTGAATCGAGACATTCCACCCATGCAAAAAGGACACAAATAATTAAATGCCCAGGGCCTGCTGAAAAAGTCCATTTTTGCCTGTCGCCTAAAGATATGTAAGGATCGCATCTGGTGAGTGAGCTCTGTAAATGGGGACCTGCCACTCAAAAAGCCAGTTCTCGTGTTGCCACCTTCTGGACTTCCCATGGAGTGGGAACACAAAGAAGGTCCACAGATACTGATTGCAGAGTCCAGGTCAGTTCAGAGAGACAGACCTTGAGGTATTAAGGTCCTGAAGTACATTAGAATTTATAGGTCAGAACTAGCACTTTGAATTGGGCCCAGAAACTAATTGGTAGCCAGATGGCCAGGATTGGTATGATATACTCAGACCTCCTTGCAAAAGCAGATCTAGGTGAGTGTGACCGATTTAAGGAGCTTCTGGGGTGTCATGGCAGATGCCAAAACTATGAAGTCCAACAAAAGCCAAGAGGCGGGGAACACCAGATTTTGGCGTCACACAGGACACCACTTACATTTGAGATGCCAAGGTCCACCACTGCCATCTTGTCCCGGTTAGCAACCTGGTAGCCAAATTGTGATGGCCTGGGATTCCGATTCGGAGGATGAAACAGAGGAATCCCAGCCTGCACAGGAGTCCCCGCCTCCAGGGCCGGCTGAACTGGGGCAAGGCCTAGATGCTGAAGAGCCTGCACCTGTGGCAGTGCATCAGGAGCTGGCCCCAGGTGAAGCCCTTCTGGCCCCAGAGGGGCTTGATGACTCAGTGGCCACAGGTGAGCCTCCTCCAGGGCCCAGTAACCCTTCGGCCTCTCCTGATCTGCAGAGGCTTAGGGCAGAGAGGCGAAGGGAACTGGTTGCCCCCAGGAGGAGTGCTCGCCTTAAGGCCAGAGGAGGCGGGGCTCCTGGGGACCGGGACCGCCCCTGGCCTTAGAAGAGGATAAAAGCCCAGTCAGCCCGGCCCCAGGTTGCGGGAGCAACGTCGTTGTTGGCTCGGACCTTCCTGTGCTCCTGTTCCCTGCTCGGCTTCCTGTTCCTGACTATCCGGTACTCCTGTTCCCTGCTCGGCTTCCTGTTCCTGACTATCCGGTACTCCTGTTCCCTGCTCGGCCTCCTGTTCCCGACCATCCGGTGTTCCTGTTTCCTGCACAGCCTCCTGTTCCAGCATTCCTGTTCCCCGCCCGGCTCTCTGCCTCGGACCTTGCCCCTCTTCGTGTGGACTCTGCTACACCCAAGGTACCTTACCCCGGGACCAGCACAGTTTGCTCCCGCCACACCCGCACTTCCCCTTCGTAGGGGTGCGTTCGGGAAGAGCCAGAGGCCATGGCTGAACAGGCGGCTGCACTGGTGGCTTTGGCCCAGGAGAACCAGGCCTTGAATCACACCGTGCAGCAGCTCAGCGACGCGGTTGTGGCACTTCAGCAACGCTTGGAAGCCCTACCGGCTCCTGGGGCCGACGCCCGGCTCCGGGCAAGTACCCAGTGGCTTTGCCTGAGAAATTTGATGGAGCCCGGCCAGCTTTCCCATGTTCCTGGCCCAGGCCAAGCTGTATATTCAGGGGCGAGCCCGGAACTTTCCTGACGACCGCACCAAGGTGCACTTTTGATTAGTTTGTTAAAGGACCAGGCGGCCAAGTGGGCGTTGCCGTTACTCAGGCAAGACTCCCCCTTGCTGGCAGACTATACGGGGTTTTGCAATCGTTTGGAGGCCGCGTTCGGCACCCCCCCGAGCGAGAGTCAAGCCAACCGGGCGATTCGGCGTTTGAAACAGGGCAAGTCCACGGTGGCCACATATACCACGGAGTTTCGGC